TATATATATAGTGTGTGTGTGTGATATATGTGTGCTTGTAGACCTGGATCGTGAGTAGGAGCGAGAGCGGCTGCGGGACTGGGAGCGGGATGAACGAGACTGTGACCTGGAGGACTTTGAGGAGCGAGAGCTTGAGCGAGATGAAGATCTCCCTCTGCTGCGAGAGTGACTACTGGAGCGACTACCTCCACGACCACTGGAAGGAGGTGAGCGACAGAGGGTGGGGAAAAGAGAGCATAAAATTGTTGGTTAGGTGGGCCCTTATTTATCCAACAGTGACATCCTCCCCACAACGGATGTCAACCAGAACTTTGATCAGAATGAACACACAGACAAGCAATTTGAAAGCTAATTTTGATAGACAAATACAAAGTCCAAACAAGAGAAACAAACAAAAAGATAAAGATAGTGAAGCGGAAGCTCACCTGTTGCGTTTCTCCTGTCCCTTTTTTCTCCTGGCTCTCATCTTAGCCCTGAAGAACTCATACAGGCCGTTCTGCTCCCAGCCTTCACTGGTGGAGGAATAAACCACAGCCATCTGTAGACTAGGAACTACAGCAATTTCTAACAGGAGATAGCAGCACTACATAGGTGCTGCTTGTGGCAACTGCTGCCTCTGCACAACTACTGAAAATAATCTCATGGTTCCATGGTGCTCCGTTGCTAACAAATTATGTATTATATACATTATATATACATACACAGCTACTTTATAATTAAATCCTAAAATACAAACATAGGTGACGAAATGTAGAATTCCTATTTGGCATAACCACAAGCACTGGAACTACAGACTGAAGAACTTTAGATCTGGTTCAATGTTGATCAAATCTGTCACTAACAAACCAACAAGCTGAAGTCATGAGACAACATTCACATCCCTCATTCGCTCTGACTAAGACATCGAACAACTGAAAGACTGCCGCCCCCCAGGGGTGTGTGCTCCTCTCACTCTGTGGGTTCTGTAAATGCTAGTGTTTTCAGCAGCCCACAGTGAAACTAAGGAATAATGGTTGCATCTCTTCTTCATCCTTATATTTCAATGGGCTATCAACAGCCAGTTAAAGGGGTAGACCAATTGGTAAAATCTGATGTATTCGCAATGTTGCAATTTCCATCTGATTTGTCTTGCAGACAGAATTTAAGTGTGTGTGTACCTGTTCCTGGGCCGATCGTGGGATGGAGGGCTGTAGAAAGCTTCCACAGCAGCTAGCAGGCGATCACTAGGTGGCATGGGAGGGGGCAGCCGGATGTCTTTAGGGTCCAGAGGTTTATAATCACAGTCCTCAAGCTGAGCAATAAACATAACAAGGAGGACCATGAGAGATTGTTTGACTGTTGTGGGTAAATCGGTCTAATGAGTAAATTCTAAAACTGTACTGGTCTTTTCTATTTTGAAAATTACAGTTTTATGGCGGATTGGCCTTTTCCATTATTATAATCCATTTAGCTATTCTGATTAGTCTGTACGTTACTTCAACTGTCCCGTCTTGGACCTTAACCATTCTGTAAGCCACTGTGGCAGTGCTTCATCAGACTTTACCACTGTTCTTTTCTCCTCTACTCAATCCTGATGGCTTTCTTCTAGCAATAAAGTAACTTTGTCAGCTGAAAAGTTATACCAGCAGGTCCCCAACAAGGTGCAAGGTAATGTTTCTGTAAGTTATTAATAACAATAATGTTATAGTCAGCCTTTAAGAGCAAAGCTTCAAACTATTAGGTACATCATATTTTCTTTTGATTACCCTCAGCTGAGCAGGTTGTCTTTTACATCTCGGACGCTTGCGCTGTTTTTCTTTTCGTCCCTGTCAAATGTCTCTCCATTATGTAAACCTACAGACTATCTGTCTGAATGTTCACCATTGTTATTGTGATTGCTGATTTGGTTAACTTTGTCGTGAAAAACACTCATCAAAACATTACTTCTGCATTACATTTTACCCCCGACAAGCATGAGGGGGGGGGGGGGGGGGGGCGTGCCCCACATTTTTAATAACTGCTGCTCTAATCAGAAGAAGGTGACGTACTTTAACTAGTGGAGCCATGAGACCAGCTGGCAGGTCAAAGTAGGGTACGTTAGGCACCAGACTGGGGTCATCTTGCACTGGCTGCTGACGATGACGAACGTGGGGGGAATGGCCATTGAAGCCGTGTGGGGGTGGGCCAAAATCCGGGTGCTGGCCTCCACCCCAGGGAGGATGATCGGCCCCCATACCTGGGGGAGGGAGTCTCTGACTGGGATGGTGGTGGGGAGGACCGGGCATGTCTGGCAAACGAAGGTATATATTGTTAAAATACTTGAGACTAGTAAATAAATACAATCACTTCGTGCCTCTGCACTCACCTGCAGGATAATCTCCCTGAGCATAGTCAAAGTGGTGCGGGGTGTACGGCGGCCTGTCATAGTGGTGTCTGGGAGGAAAGTCGTCCTGCATAAAGCGTGGAGGAAAGCGTCCGAAACTGTGTGGTGGTGGGGGCTGGTTGAAAGGAGGTGGCTGCTGGTGTGGAGGGAAGGGCCCTCTGAAATGGGGAGGTCTCTGTAGAAATACAAGTTGGCCACAGGGGATACTGTCATTCATGTAAATGAGCAGTAAAATCTTTGATGCAATAGAAAAGGTCAACAAGGATAGACAAACTGCAAATGTAGAGTATACAATGGAATACAATAAAAATCTAATCAAATAAATAATAAATCAAAGCAAAGCCAGTCAAACGACAATGATCATCTACCACATGCCTGCATGCGTGGAGGAAATGGGGGCTCCCTCTGGCCCCATGGAGGCTGGTCAGGCTGGTTCCCCCATGGCGGCTGCTGATCATATGAATTCCAAGATGGAGGGCCTTGGTCAGACCCACCAGGACCGCTCCAGGAGCCTCCTTCTCTGGGTGGACCTCCACTCCAATTTCCTGGGTCCCTCTGCTCATTCCACATCCCCTCATGGCTGTTCCAAGGAGGGCAAGGAGGGGGAGGCTGGTTTGGGTCAAAAGGAGGCTAGGGAAGGACAAGTATGAGAAAGGGCCTGAACATTGTCTGCTGCCTGAGGTCACACATATACTGCACAAACCCAAAGCAGACCATGAATAGCATTAAAACTATGACGTTTATGACTAATATGCAGTGTCATGATTGGTGTAAAACACTTGCAGGAGGCAGGAAGAAAAGCCAGTTAAATTAATGTTTTAAAAAAAAAAGGACATGGAAAACCGCAGTCACTGTTGTCAGTGGACTCGTCAATAGCCAAGGATATAGCACATTAGACATCACATCACACACTGGGGAGCTGGCTGATTTGAAACGTCTAGGCTCGGTAGAAGTGTTCCATTCTTTGCATCCAGCATCAAAGCTGGAAATAATTTTCCATTTTCAAAAGCCACTGGACAAATATGCACCTGCAGCCTTTTGGCACTTGTGCAAGGTGAAACATGAAACTAGAAGATTGTAGACAAATATGAAAGCATAAAAGTATAACTATTACAACCATTAACCTGTTTGATTTAAAAGTATAACCATTAAAACATATAAACTATTTTGTTTCATGTTAGAAGTGACTTAACATATAACCTGTAATATTTCATGATATAAGTGATTAAACATATAAACTGCATAGACGTTTTATGTAAAATAGTCCATCAAACATTATATAATCCCTCCTGTTCAAACCAGGATCAAACCAGTTACATTCTGTGTCTGACCTAGAAACAGGAGGACTCGTGTGAGTGACGTATGAAATATGGGAGGTACCAGCCTCAGACCAGCATAAAAGGAGCCAGCAGAGCTGAGAGAAACAGCGATTTCCAGCGTAGAGTCTGGATTATACTTCTTTAATAAGAAGAATAGGCTTAAAAGGTCTTACACCCTTAGGGGTGTACACTTCTGCTACCAGAAGAATAGGCTTAAAAGTCTTCACCCTGAGAGGGGATAAGAAGACATTTCTACTATCAGAAGACAGCATGAAAAAAAACTCACAGCAAGAGCTGACCGAGAGAGCCTGTTAACAGCAGGATTGTCAGCATTAGCTTTTGTAGCACAAAGACTGTTTCATTGAGTTGAAATTGTTGTATGTGATAGTTGTGAGCTAAAACCACAGCCTTACCATTTGTAAGTGACTGGGATCCAAACTAAAGACTCTGGTTCTTTAGAATAATTTACCCCTCTTCTCCTGTCCCGAAAACATGTGATACAGATGTGATGACTGACTCTACCAGAGGAGCTTAAGGTAAGTTCTTGGCAATGTTAGTCAAAAAATGGTGAGAAACAAAAAATAGGCTAACTACGTAACTATTCATACTGGGTGTTAGGGTTACATCCTACTGAGAGTGACTCGGGCGTAGCCGTACAAGACTCTCAGAAAGACAATAATTCCGAAATCCTAACGACTCAGCTACGGGGTGAGATAAAAGGCCAACGGTATTTTTCTGACACTTCTGTGAGGACACCAAAACCCACGAAGATTGGTCGGACTACAGACGGAGTTACCGCCGTGTTAGGTGCGAGCCTGCCCTGCTTTCCCCGGGGCAGGATTCGCTCACGCTACAAAACCGAGTGTTGACACTGCAAGGCTTTGCCATTAACTACTGTAGGTTGGATTGTATCTCGTTCATATGTTTCTTTGAACACAAGCCTCCGCCAACCAAATGAATGTAAATGCGGGTGATGGATCGCGAGGATGAGCCACTGCTTTCCTGTCCATACCTGTATGGAGCATGTCTGTCCATTATGTAAATCTACAGACGATTTGTCTGAATGTTCACCATTGCTATTGGGATTGCCTATTTGTTTACTGTTCTGTCGCGAAAAAGATTCATCAAAACATTAGTTCAACACACAGACACAGGTCTTTACCGGCTGGTTGGGATTCCAGGGGCCCACGTGCTGGGTGTCATACCACGCAGGTTTGTTAGAAGTGATATCTGAAGGTCCACTGGGGTTGCTGGGGTCCTGTGGTCTGGATGGAGCCCCATCAAACTCCCCTGGAGGAAGTACCGACATGGTCGGCTTCACATCCCCTGCACACAAAACACACACCAACACATTACAGCACAAACATACATGTCTATCTATACCTGCCTATTGTAGAGCAGATCACAAACCACCAACTTTTTAACAATATAAAAAATAAAAACTGTTGAGTAAGAATTGTTGTTGATGTTGTACACAACCGTTACGTTTTTTCTAAGATAAAATGGTAACATTTTGCTTTTGCTGTAATGGTAACAATAAATCTGGCTTCATGTATCAGGCTGTGCCTCTAATTTCTTCAAGTGTCTGTGTTCTCACCAGCTTTTATGGTCATAGGCGGGGCCTTTTCAGGCTCAACCAGGGGAGCTAGCTGTGCTGCAGGGGAAGGCTGCGGCTGCTGCTTTAGGCTGCCCACAAACTCTTCGTGCTGGGTATTTAAAGACTGGATCTGCTGCTGGAAGGCCAGCTGGATTGGTTGCACCACCGCAGCATACTCTGTTATCAGAGACGCCTGAGAGAGAGGGCAAGAGATTGAGATTAGTTGAGATTGATCCAGGGTTATCAGTGAATTAAAACCACTGGGTCACAAAGGCGAGCAAAATCACCAAGTGCATGTATAAATGGGCGTGACCAGCACATTTTTGTAATTGCCACCGGCATTGGCGTGAATCAGGCACAGCTTGCACATTGTGGAGAAGAGACTGAACATATATACACATATACACACATATACACATACATACATATACACACATATATACACAAAAACATATACACACATATATACATATACACACACATATATACACAAAAACATATACACACATATACACACACACACACACACACACACATACACATATACACACACACATATACATATATACACACACATATACATATATACACACACACACATATACATATATACACACACATATACATATATACACACACATATACATATATACACACATACATACATATATACACACATACACTTACACATATACACACATACACATAGACACACACATACATATACACACACACATACACTTACACGTATACACACATACACATAGACACACACGTATACACACACATACATACACACGTATACACACACATACATACACACGTATACACATACATATACACACGTATAGACACATACATATACACACGTATAGACACATACATATACACACGTATAGACACATACATATACACACGTATAGACACATACACATACACACGTATAGACACATACACATACACACGTATAGACACATATACACATACACACGTATAGACACATATACACATACACACGTATAGACACATATACACATACACACGTATAGACACATATACACATACATATACACACGTATACACATGCATATATACACGTATACACATGCATATATACACGTATACACATGCATATATACACGTATACACATGCATATATACACGTATACACGTATACACACACACAGATACACAGATACACGTATAGACACACACAGATACACA